GTGTGTGTGTGTGTGTGTGTGTGTGTGTGTGTGTGTGTGTGTGTGTGGGTGTGTTAATGAGGGCTCCTGAGAGAGATGGCAGCTAAGCACAGCTGATCATGTTTGAAATTCACAGAGCTGCCTGTTACTAGAAAGCCTCATTAGGTACATTTGCTTTCCTATACAAACAACAACAATCCCCCCCCCCCCCCTTCTCATCTCCCTTAAAAAGACAAACTGACACATTCTGTTTTTGCATCACTAACTCAAATGTGTTCAAAGCCAATGAGATCATGTCAAATATACTTTTTTGCTTTTGTATTTGTCACAGAACTCGATTCGTCACAACCTGTCCCTCAACAAGTGTTTCAAGAAGGTCCCCAGACAGAAAGACGAGCCAGGGAAGGGGGGCTTCTGGCAGATTGATCCACAGTATGCAGATATGTTTGTCAATGGCATCTTCAAACGCAGGAGGATTTCTGCCAACAACTACAACAACAGCAGCAGCATCGCCCACAAACTGGTTCAGGGTTACCACAGCACACAAAATGGCTGCCCTTACCAAGGGGTTGGCGGGAAACGGAAGCAGTCGCCCTCCAAGAACAATAGCAAGGCGATGAGGGCGACCGAGTCACCTCTTTTAGGTACAGAGGCCCACAAAGCAGACATCCTGCGGGGGGACTTTGACCTGGCGTCAGTGTTCGACGACGTTCTCAGCGGGAACTGTAGCACCTTCGAGGATTTGGACATCAACACGGCGCTGAGCTCCCTGGGATGCGAGATGGAGGTTTCCATGCAGGGGAGGCAGCATTCGGGGGCGGGGCTGGGGAGGTGGTGCGGCGGCGGGGACGTCACGGGTCAGAGCCAGCACCTGAACCACCTCCAATCCTACGGTTACATGGAGTTGAGCGTCGCTTCCATGGATTGCACGGCCAACATGGGAGAGCTCCATGTGCCGCAGCAGCAGCATCCGCTGCAGCAGGAGCAGCAGCAGCTGGACCAGGATCAGCTGCTCCAAAGTCATCACCACCTGCCGCAGTTCGACGAGCCCTCCGCTCTGTTCCCGGAGCAGCCCGAGGAGGCGGTGCTGCAGCCCTGGGAGGAGATCAAAGAGGAGGAGCAGGCGATTCCTCTTACTCTGGATCAGGGCTTCGGCCTGTGCGAGGGCTTCTTCACAGAGATGCAGCCATGGGAACGAGTGGAGGCTTATCTGTGACCTTTGACCCTCAAACCTCATTGACTCCTAATTATCTTCCCCCAATGACCTGAACATGTCTGATTACTGGTCCAATATTACCACCATGAGGATACTTCTGCATTCCCTCCGGTCATTCTGCAGCACATCCGTAATTCATTTTTTGTAACATTTACCTTTTAGCTTTTCTTACAACACAGACATGATAGTATCAAACCTATCTTGAACTATGAACCCAGTTAACAAAGACTCCCTTTAGGAAAGACATTGATCTGACTATAAAGGTTGCTGGACAAAATGATGAGGGATTATTTCCTGGCATAGACTCTCATTTCTTCCTAAGGGTTGTCAGGTGATTGACAGCAGTGCGTACACATGACACAGCACTGCTGTATAAGGCACAAAGATAATGACAATACAACAGATAGACTTTTATAAAGCAAATTAAAGTCTCATGTGGACTGCGGAGGATTATCGCACTCTGCAGGATGAAAGACAGCAAATGTTTTCTTCAGAAGGAAGAACAATGACAAGACTACGTGCAGAAAACGGGACAAATTGATCCTTTAAATTGGATTTTCTGGAACTATAACAGCTCAAATGTCAGGCAGCTGGTGATAAGACAATGTGTTCAAATGAGTGCTGAACTGCAGCTATTTATCACTCTGGGGGATTTTGATTAAATGATGACAGAAGCAAAGTGAAGATAACCCTACCACCCTCCTTCAAAGCACTCTCCACAAATGAGCACTGTCATTACAGGACTGAGACGACATGCAGGATTCTATTTTGCTACATTAGCATTCAACTTTTTTTTTTTTTTTGAACTAACATGCAGCAAAATCAGCCATTCATCAAGTTATCGGAGCAGGATGGAGACTTTAAATTCATAGTTAAGATTAGAAATCAGTCATTTATGACTTTGTTATATAGTCAATTTAATATATATTCACTAAAGTATATAGAATGAAGCTAGGCAGGAATATTTGCCATTTGTCTACAGTTATGAAAGGAGCAGACGGGAAAACTAACCGCCTTCTCGACAGTCATGAAAATCGAACATTATGCACTTTGATAGGCAGCGGTTTTAGGAAAGCAAGACGATTATTTCCAGGATGTTTAGTATTTTTTATCATATTAAAATGACGTTTTCTAAAAGTTTACTGACCATAATGATGCATATGCTGTAATTGTCCATATCAGTTTGTTTCTGAACATGAACTCAACACTGCAATAAGTCAAGTGGGCAAGTTTGTTTTTGTTTGTTTTTTTGCTTCAATATAATGTTTTTTCTTTCCAATTATATACAAAACTGGGCATTTCTTGATTATATTTTGCCAAATTTGTTGATAAGGAATATGCAGTTCATTGGTGTTTTCTGTGTTGATTAATAATAATAAGAAAAAAAGACAGTTCTGTTTTCTGTCACTGGGTGATGGATTTGCTCTTGTTGATTACGTTGCTGTATGTCCTTTTTTATTTGTATGGTTTGTTTTCACAAATCAGAATTTCAAAATGTGTTAGAGAATATATTAACTGGGTCGCTTTGAGGGGACTAATGATGAGCAGACACACAAACTCAACACTTAAAGGCCAGATTTTCTTATTGTATCATATTGATCAAGTTTGATACGAGCTCTTTAATCCTACCATGCTACTTTCATTTGTACTTTTCTAAGCTGTTTAAAAATGCAATCATGCCTTGATGCAATAAATGGTGTCAATTAAAGAAAGAACAATAACAAAAACACATATCGTTTGCTTGTCATTGTGAAATATCAGAGATTAAAACACGATGGAGTGCAGCATAAAGCTGTAGTCAGGGCGATTGTTTGAGTTAGAGCTCTGTCTGTGTGTGTGTGTGTGTGTGCGTGTGTGTGTGCAATCAAGAGATAAAAGGTCTATCAGAGTTTATCATTAATCAGCACAGACAAGTCTGGACGCGCTTGGTATTTTAATCACAGCAGATATAAAAGCTTACTACAATATAATGCAATCCGATACATTAGAGAGCAAATTGTACCTTAAGCATGAGCTTTGATTGTTGAAGCTCTTTTAGAGAAGTGTGTATTCAACTGTGTGACCATTGTTGGGACAACAATAGTTATAAATGCACTCACGTTGATGAGTATATGAGGTCTGAGTGGCTTTTGGTACAAGGGAAGCGTGTAACATTTGAAGAGGAAAAGGTTGAAAATTAGATACGTTTTAAACCAGCCATAATTAAGAAAATAAATAAGTAGCAGTAATTTGGCCAAAAATTTGGGCTTCACACGTGAAAAAAGTGAAGGATGTTCTTTGGCACAGTGGTGCTTTGAGCTAAATGCTAACATCAATGCTAACATCCTGATGTCTTGCATGTTAGCACACTAGCATACAACAGCGCTAAAGCACTAAACATTTCTGTACAAAAATCAAAATATATGCAATATGCAACAATCAGTATGAGAACATGAGAAGTATGTAAGTAATGAGAAGTTACCAGAACTAAGAATCTACAGCCACGATAGCAGCGTTGAGAGGCTGTAGCATGCTAACAGACTCACAGTGACAGTTTAGAATGAGTAATGTCACCATCTTAGTTCGTCGATTGAGGAACAATCAGGGGATCCACAAGACCAATATTGCCATATCATAGGTACCACAGTGCTAGCATGGCTAAATTTAGCACAAAGTCACATGAAAAGCTGGATATAACTGTAAAAATCAGGGACATACAGTGAATAAAAGCCAAAAATAACACAGTCCAAGTGTTAAAAGTGTGTGTAGAGATATGGATCAAAAAAAGTTTTGATCGTGTGCTTCAGAATCAAATAAGCTGAGTGAGAGGACAAACAACTCTCTGATCAATCAGTAATGCTTTCTGTCACTCACTCCACATGTTGACCCTTCATCTATCACAAGACAAGTCTCGTAGCTGTTAGAAAATTCCCTCAAAACTCACCACCACACCTCATCTCGCCCTTTTTCCATGGTTTTGGTAGCATGCCCTGGATGAAAATGTGCTTTTCCACCTCAAATCTCTTTTTAATTGAAATTGTTGGAGGAAAATGGGCAGAAATGCGGCTTATCCCCGTCCCTCTGGCTCGGGGCTCCCAGTGGCGACAGGTCATGTGTGGAGATCTCCAGGAATGAGTTGGAATAACTCGGATTCCTAAAAACAGCAGGGACTACAGCCTGATTCAGGGCTCGAGACGTGTGACCACTAGCCACCGTGCGTGGAGAGAATCGCCCCAGCTGGTATAGAGTAGCTGGTCCTGCGACAGCTGCAGGTCATTTTTATACCAGCTAAAGGCCAAGAGGTGAATTCTACTTTCAGAGGAAACGTGAGGAAAGTTGGAGAAGCGTCAGTCACTGTCACTGTAATGCTCAAGTTGAAGGCTAAAAGGGGCATCCTTTGTATCCAAAAATGTGTGCGTGTGTGTGTGAACTTTCACATTTGTCTCCGCTTGGCTGTGACCACGTGCACATGTGCTTGTGTGCGGTTGCATTATATGCCCATAATGTTTGTGTTGGTCCACAGGCTTCTTTGTCTGCACTCACGCTGATGTGTGCGCTGCCCGCTGAGCGTGTGTGTACACGGCTGCGATCTGAGCCCCGTGGCGGCCCAGATAACGCTATCTCTGTGGAGCCAGAGCCCCGTGGTTCTATTCAGTGCGGTGGATGAGAGGCCGGGACTGCCCAGCACGCGGACCTGCTCAAAGGAGGAGGAACAAGCTGGGCTGTCACTGTACGGCTAACCTGGCTCATAATGGTTTATAACCTCCTCCCTGGTGCCCCTCTGGGGGGCTCTGCATCATGTGTGTGCTTGTGTGTGAGCCCGGGAGGGGTTGCACAGAGGAGGGCAAGAGACAAGAAGAAGGGTGTATTCCGTGTTTTATTGCCATCATCTGGATTGCTCCTGATTAGAGTCAAGCATGAACAGGGTCAACCAGCTTTGCTAAAGAAGCGCCCCTCCCAGCGTGACATAGACAGAGGGTTCAACTCTTCATTTATTGGGGATAGCCACAGAGCTATTCTTTAAGGGGAAAAGTGAATAGAAGACATGATGGGGGTCCCTCACTAATTAGATCCATTGCGGCACAAAGCAAAAAGTGGCAGCGGGAAAGCGCCCTGAGCCCGTTTCATAGCCCCTGAGGAGCCCCTGAGAGTGGGTGATTACATTTACAAATAACTGTTGGATTACACTGATAAATGCAATTTCCTCATGAATCGAAGCAAAGAATCACACACATGTCAGGAAAGGACCTTCAGTGGGAGTAACCTTCACCTTTTCTTAACTGGCGGGAAATTGTTGTCCATCTCTTGTTTCCAAGCCCTCATCACATATTGATAAGGGAAAAACACTGGGATGATATTCAGCGGTCCGGCCGGACATTATTGCCTCTCCAGACTGGCGCGACACAAGATGAGCGGCGTAGACAGGAAATACACCTAAATAGTCTTTCCAACAGGCTGTTGTTTATGTATAAGATGCAAATGAGGTTTCCATTTAGATCGCCTGTTCCATTTTGAAAGGAATTGTGGATGGTAGACTAGAATAAAAGGACTGAGTTGTAGTATGGTGAGGGTTTTTTTTTTTTTTTCTTTTATTTACGGAGATTAGGGGTTTTACCTACTTGAAAATGAAATTGGTCAAAGTGTGCACATGGCCATGTTTACATAAAATAAAGACAGGATCATTACTCCAAGAGCTAGAGGTTTCCTCGCATTAACCTTCCACAAAAGCCTTTCTTGGTAGAGTTTTTTTGTCCAGGAGAGCCTTTATGCTTCCGAATGTGGGGATGACTAATGAAGACTGGATCGCCAATTTGACAACGCCACGTGAACCCACACACGGAACCCTCTAGATTTTGTTTTGATGTGCTAATTTGATTTATCCGGGACATGTAGCGCAGACAAATGCAGGTGTGCAAATGAGTGCAAACACAACTGCACACACAGATGGCAATGAGGAATACATATAGAGGTGATTTAAGGCCAAATTCACCCTCATAGGAGTGTTCAGGGCTTGAACATTCTGTTTTTGTACCGGTTTTCTTCTCGCCCTGTTTCTCTTGCAGTTCTGTGACTTGTGGAACATACTCTCAGGATTAGGCATTCGCTGCCTGAGGCCAAAACATCACAAACAATTTCCATTACATCT